CAGGAGAGCGTAACCCGCCCGCCGTCGGGTACACATGGTGAGCAAGAACACAACCAGATCCCGGATCATCGGATGACCCCCTTCGTTAGTCGGTGTCCGGACGCCATTGGTATCGGGAACCACGATCACAAGTTTTTACGGATTCCGCTTCGCCACAAACCCACAGATCACGAGGTTATTTCGGAGGTCGAGAGACCTGGATCTTGGAGTAGCGACGGTCGAAGACCATTGATCTACTATCGGAGACTCCCGTGGTTACTGGAAACACCATTCTCCTGGTAAACGGGTTCGCCAAGCTAAGATCAGAGGCAAAATCCACAATGAGAAAGCGATCTTACTCTTAGATACCGGCGCCGAGGTGTCTATCGTGGACACCTCCTTTGCTCGTATGGTTGGGTGCTATATCGACTCAAGTCAGATCCAAGACTGCGTAGGAATTGGTGACAATGTGTACCGGACAGAAGGGAGAACCCGGATCAAGATGACTCTGGCTGGATCATTGGTATATTCCTTCGATATGTGGGTTGATGATCTGACTGGTCAACAAGCTATACTTGGTATGGACTTCATGATTCCAGCCGGGATCCGCCTGGAGCTAGCCCATGGATCGATCAGCTTGTCGGATGAAGTCCAGATCCAGCTTACCGGGAGACGACAGCTCTATAGCGACAAGGCGAAGATCGTAAATGTCGGCCAGTACCTTGGGATTCAGACAGGAGAGTCGTTGGAACTGCCGTTGCGACTGAGGCCGTCGATCCACGACAAGCTGTGGGTAACACATGGGGATTAATGGGTGCCAACAATATCCGATGGGCCAGGGAGGACGAATTACGTCTCGGTCATCTACATGGGGGACGACGTGTTGATCCTGCATCAAGACCAACGGATCGGGATCTGGCTGGCCGGAAATCATGTGCCACGGCTACCGGGTTTCATCTCGATGGGGCCTCGACGTTACATTGAGTGGTAAAATCTAGCATTAGAGGCCACGACAGACGCTCGATCCGAAGATATGGAGTTCGAAGCCCCGCTTGAATCCGTGGTGGAGCGATCCGAGTACAAAACTCCGCGTGCAAGACTCCAGAGGTCGAAGACGACGTCGATCCAATCCAGTGTCGGAAGGTCAAGACGAGTCAGGATCAAGGTGTTCCTGACTGCTTACCTTCGGACAGCTCGCCGTCGGAGATTCAGCCGTTGGATCTAACGTCTGTCACAGGCGAGGAGTCGGATCTGTAGTTTATCGCTGTCGTAACGGTCAAGGAGGCTGTGAAAGATCTCGATAAAAAACGTCAGACGACTGGGCTACTGATCTTGCGTTGGTGGAAACTACAAATGCAGTGGAAGCGCGAGAAGAGGAAGGTCGAGATAGAAGTGGGGTTGCCAACCAGGATCAACTACATTCGGGATGTCAGGATCAAGGAACATCACCATCGAAATGCGGTGGATCAGATCCGTCATCAATGACGAGTGTACAATCTGGGACGAGACATGTGGCCTGCAATCCGTTGAACGACAAGTGTGTCGCGTCTATGTCGCAAAAAAGGCATGTATCCACAACCTGTTGTTGAAGATCAACCAGACGCGTCAGATCTGGACCTCACCTGGGACTCAGATCAAGATAATGATGAATGTGTATACTACCATGAAGGAAGTGATCTGTACGCGGAAGATGTCGACGGTCAGATGGCGGTACTGCCAGAAGTGCCTGTGACGACGGAAGATGTGAAAATCGAGGACATTCAGCTATGTGGATCTGATAATCAGATCCCAGAAGAAATTGATCGGCTTCGCCAAATGATCTGGAAGTTCCGACACCTCTTGATCGGCAAAGGCAATGTCCTCCCGCTGGCTTCTCGAGGTGTTGTATGTGATATCGACGTCGGAGGAGCGAGACCTATCGCCTTGAAGTGTCGTAAGTTGTGGATCCAGTTCAGGGAAAAGCTGGCAGACTTGATCGAGGGTCTATTGTCTCCCAAGATGATCAATTACTGTAGATCACCGTGGGCTTCCCCGATCGTGATGATTATCTAGAAAAAATGGAGTGGAAATCAGGTTGTGCATCGATTATCCGTTGGTTAATAGATTAACTCAGCTGATGGTCTTCCCAACGCCCTTGATCAACGACTTACTCGAAGATCTAGAGTCGACACTTTGGCACTGCTCAATGGATATGGCGAGTGGATTTTGGGTGGTGAAAATGACGGATCGTGCTCGTTTGAGCTCGGCTTTTATCACTCCCTTTGGACTATTTGAATGGAATCAAATGTCCTTCAGCTTGAAGAATGCGCACCAGATCTATCAACGTATGATTGACAATGCACTATATGAATTCACCCGGATCCCGAAGTCTGAAGATCATGGAAATGCTTTGGATGTGTTTGAGAACGGGGAACCGGTGGATCCAGGCAAGCCATCGGTGCTCGGGCGTAGATCATACATTGACGACATCCTGCTCACGGCAATAACTGGATCAACTATGTGATCGAGTTGAAGGTTTACTCGAAGCATGTGATAAGTGGAATGTGAGGAAGTGGGTGAACACTTGACCGCCCAAAGGTGTATAGCGTGCCCTGAACGGATTCGAACACGAAGTCGTTCAGGTAGTACAAGACTCGGGCTGAAAACTTGTTCCTGTCCGGATTGGCGTGTGCCTTGCGTCAATCCCTATAGGTTCGATTAATTCGAAAACCAGGGATAACACCGTAGCAGTGACTTGCCAATAGAATATACGGAGATATAAGAGAACTTCCGGGACCTCCTCGTCCTAGTCGTCCTGAGTGTAAATTGAGAGATCAAAGACCTTCCTCCAAGAATTAACCTAAAACAATACAAATGACCTAGATGATATACACACAGTTTGTAATGCAAATATACAGCCTGTCAGTTATTAGACACACCCGAATACAGGTAGATTTTGGGATGCCCTTCGCGCACCACTCCTGTACTAATACAGGAGAATCAATATAAGTACCTTCCGTTCACACAGCAATCAGCAATAAAGATTATAATCCTCCTAAATCGCAGGGTAATATAAAATGCAACTGGGCACTTGAGGGTGTCAGGAGGCAACTTGGCAAATGAAATAACTGGGTCAGCCCAAGTGTTCAAGCACACCGGTTCCCGAGTTAATTTAGCTTGAACGAGGTTGAGAGTCTTCACGCGTCC